AAACTGACGATATAAAAATAAATCGTGATTAAATTCGAGATCGAACGATATGGAAAAATATATCATGATCATTCTTTTTGCCATATCGCCCAGGCCTAGTTCCAATGTTCATGTTCTACTGAGGCGTGTGTTCTCCGTTTGTTAGCTGTTTAGCTAGCTGAGCAAGGACACACGGGAGGTGTCTTGTAGTCTAGCCTTGGTCTAAAATTTCCCAGAATACACCCCAGCATTTTCAAAAGGATGGAGGATCAGAAGCCGACAGCTACTTCGGGAGCAAATTTCATGTTTACAATTAAGGGTTTTTTGGGGGTTTTTTTTTTAGATCCAAAGCAGTTATCTATGTTTGGTTAGTTGCTTAGTAGTTGCAGCTTCGGTGGCTAGCGGGTAGTAACTCACATATATATTAAATTTAACAAATATAAACACAATTTAAAAAGTTAAAGACTTGTTATATATTCATACTGAAACCTATACATATAAAATGTAACAATATCTCCCGTGTCATGTGACTTTACGTGACTCCCATGGAAGAAGAAGAAGAAGAAGAAGAAGAATATATCTTTTCCATAGCGCCTCTCAAGAAAAAAGTCACGAGGTGCTTCACAAACACAAAAAATGTTAAAATATAAAAAAGAATTTAGAAAATGTTTTAAAATATATTTAAAATGAGCAAAAAATAGACAATTATGATTAAAATTTTAAAGAAATAGGGAGAGAGTGAATAAGAAAGAGGGGAATCAGTGGATCCTGAGGAAGGTGGAATAGGTGGGGAGAGCAGAAAGAAAGTGGTGAAGAAGGTCATACAAAAGCCAGCTTGAACAAGTGAGTCTTCAGCTGTTTTTTAAAGGAGACCACTGAGTCCACTGATCTCAGGCTCAGAGGGAGAGAGGTCCAGAGTCTGGGGGCCACAGCAGCAAATGATCTGTCACCTTTGACCTTTAGCCTGGTGCTGCACAACCAGTAGGCTTTGGTCACTGGACCTCAGGGACCTGCTGGGGGTGTAGGGACTAAGAAGATCACCAATGTAAGATGGTGCTTGTCCATGTAAGGCCCTATAGACCAGAACCAGGATTTTGAAATGAACCCTGAAGTTGACTGGCAGCCAGTGAAGCTGGAGGAGAAGCGGGGTGATGTGGGTGTATTTGGAGGACTTGGTCAGAAGCCGAGCACAGGCGTTCTGAACCACCTGTAGACGGTTCAGGGAGGTTCTGCTCAGACACGTGAAAAGAGAGTTACAGTAGTCTAAGCGTGAGGAGATGGAGGTGTGGAGAACTGTCTCAAGTTCAGAGCGGGACAGAATGGGACTCAGCTTTGTAATGTTCCTGAGATGGAAGAAGGAAAAGCGAACAAGAGAACTGACATGAGAATCCAGGGTGAGAGCTGGGTCAAAGGTCACACCAAGATTCCTGACGGAAGGTTTGGTGTGAGAAGCAAGCTGACCAAGAGAGTCTCTGACTTTGGGAACCAGCTTGTCTGGGGCACAGATGAGGATCTCAGTCTTATCTTCATTCAGCTGAAGAAAGCTCCCACCATCCAGGTTTTGATAGAGTCTAAGCAGGTGCGTAACAGCTGCAGCTTAGACATCTCCTGGGGCTTAAAGGAGATGTACAGTTGGATGTCATCTACATAAAGATGATAGGAGATTCCTTTGAAGGAGCTCAGGATGTGCTGAAGAGGAAGCAGATAGAGGAGGAAGCGCAGAAGCCCCAGCACAGAACCTTGTGGGACACCATGGGTAAGGGAGGTGGTGGAGGACCTAAACTTGGAGACGGCCACAGAAAAGGAGCGCTCAGAGAGATAAGAGGAGAACCACTCCAGAGCAGATTCTGATAGGCCTACCCAGTCTCTCAGCCTCTCCAGTAGCAGGTGATGGTCAACAGTGTCAAAGGCTGCAGTCAGGTCCAGCAGGACCAGAACAGAACAGTCCCCTGCATCACTGTGAGTCAGAAGGTCATTAGAGACCCTAAGAAGAGCTGTTTCAGTAGAATGAGCTCTACGAAAACCTGACTGGAAGCAATCATAGATGTTATGTTCATCAAGAGCAGCTGTGAGTTGTTTAGCCACAACCTTTTCCAAGATCTTGGAGATGAACGGAAGTTTAGAGATGGGTCTGAAGTTGCTATGGAGAGAGGGGTCAAGACTCGGTTTTTTAAGAAGCGGGTGGATTACAGCGTTCTTAAAGTAAGCTGGGACCTGACCAGAAACCAGAGAAGCATTAATTATAGAGAGCACGCTGGGACCGATGGACTGAAAAGCACTTTTAAACAAAGACGAGGGTAAGATGTGGAGGGGGCATGCAGAGGTCTTCATAGAGTTAACTAGTTTGGTTAACTCAGGCAAAGAAACAGGAGCAAAGCTATCTAGGATGATGGGCCTGGTTGGAGTCGGGAGAGGCAGCGATAAGGCTGAAGGAGAGATGCTAGATCTAACCTTATTGACTTTGTCCACAAAGAAAGACAGAAAGTTCTCACAGTCTGCAGCAGAGTGGATGGAGGCTGTAGGAGAGGCAGGAGAGACGATGCTGCTGATGGTGTTAAACAGCACCTTGGGGTTCCCTTTGCTCTGGGACACCAGGTTGGAGAAATAGGAAACCCTCGCATCTCTGACTGCAGAGTTAAAGGATGTCAGAAGATCCTTTAGGTGCAGCAGATGGACGAGGAGAAGGTGCGGCCACGTGATGCAAGTCTGTTCCACTTAACGGTTCTCTTTGACCAAGGAAGGGCAGTGTCCTCGTAAGCAAGGCGCCTGGCCTCGCAAGACATGTGTAATAAATTGTTTGAGGCTGAAATTCAAGTAAAAATTAAATTCTCACCCTTTTTGTGCTCATCAGGGAGTCTGGACAAGGTACCGCTGGCCTGGAGGAGCATCCATCTTTCCCTCCGCAAAATTTGATCTGAACACAGAATAAACTGTCAGTTCGACGTTTTCACTTCCATTGCTACAAATCTTTTTACCTACCTTTTTTATTCTTATTTTTTATGTCTTATGTCAAACTGTTTTTATCTCACCTGTCTGTTTGTCTTTGGTGGAAAAGTAATTGTGTCTGTTGCTGCTGCCTTTTCGCCCAGATCGTCGTTGCAAATGAGAATGGGTTCTCATTCGACTTACCTGGTTAAAAAAAGGTTAGATAAAATAGAATAAAATTAATTTTATTTAGGTTATAAGCTAACATTAACCTACTTGCCTGCTGGTGGTGGTCAGAGGGACCAATGGTGCCTGTGCTCCTCCACAGTATCGCCTCTGTCATTGTGTCCCAGGTCAGCTGTAGCTATGTTGTAGCTCATAAATCAGTATACTGATACACCATCAGTATCTGTATAGTTTACCTGTTGAATTAATTGTGGATTCACTAGAATAAATACATAAAAGCTTGTCTCTTACCAAATAGAACATTTACAGACACAGAAAAAAGCAGAAAATGGCTGTAAGTTCAGCGAACTTTGAATCCTTCTCTCAGGAGGAAACCACCATAAATCTAAGTGGTAACAGGGCAGAGGAGATTCTGTGGCGACATGCCGACGTCTGATTTGTAGTCATGATAATTACGAATTTTTACAAGCTGAAAAATCTCAAAGTACATGACTGGCATGGTCGAAATAAAAATGTTACTTTTCATTTAAATGAAGTATAACATATGTGTGATTCAGGGCTAAGGCAAAGTGGATTAGAAAATAGCTCTTTTAGCCCTGTTCAGAGACCCATGAGCTGACCGGAGAGGGAGGAGGCTTAGGATCCCTATGTAGAGCGGGTTGCCTCATGATCGGAGGGTCATGGGTTCGATTCCAGCTCCCGCCAGGGGTATCCTGCTGTTGTGTCCTTGGGCACTTCACCCAACTTGCCTGTGTTAGTGGTGGTCAGAGGGGCCGACAGCGCCAAATGGCAGCCTCGCCTCTGTCAGACCTCCCCAGGACGGCTGTGGCTGCAAGTAGCTTACCACCACTAGCAGTGTGTGAAAGTGAGAGTGTGTGGAAAGCGTCTTTGGGTGTCTAGAAAAGCGCTGTTTAAGTTCAATGCATTATTATTATTACTGAAAATATTAAATGTTTCAAAAATGACAATTAGGCACCAAACCGGAAGTAGTTTCAAAGTACTGCTTAGTCATAATGTCTACTTTAAAAGGAGAAAGAAATCACTGTAATAGTATTGGTGGATGAGATATTTCTAGTTTCATTACACACACACGCATGCACGCATGCACACACACACACACACACACACACACACACACACACACACACATTTATATATATATATATATATATATATATATATATATATATATATATATATATATATATATATATATATATATATATATATATATATATATATATATCGCCCACAGATATCCATAAATTGTGATAAATATTGATAGCTATATACCCACCTAGCACAAATCTGTTTGCTCTTGTGGCTATTTTTCATTCCCGTCTACATCCTACCGACTGAAACGTGTTTTGCATCAGCTGTTTATAATATCTGCTGGATACATAAAGCATCACTCATCGAATTTCAGTACTGAACAATTTTACCTCACCTTCTCAGTGAACGATTTTTACAGAGTTTTTATTTTTTATTTTGAAGGGCTACATTCTGAACCAGAAGGGATTTCCTCAACTCCTGTTTGGTTTGAATATTTTTTAGAACTTATATGCGAATAACACCATAATTGCTCTGTTAGAACAAAGATAAATACATTTTTCACTTGGAGTCGATTTAGACTGAAGCTACGGTAAACCTAAAGAGAATATTAGCAGAAAACATAATAACCATGTTGTCAACAGCAGAGTGGGTGTAAGTGTGCAGCCAGAGGCCAATGTCGTCTTATTTATGTATTTGTCCGTATTTTATTAAGGGTAAGTAAAAGTCTAATGTGTTTATTGTTTCCTTGTAACATGAAACACAGCTGTACTTCCGTAGAATGACCAATACGGGGCGCCATAATATCATTCTTCAGCGTGCTGTGATCCTGACACGTTTTATTTTGAAAGAGGAAGCAGGAAGTTGATGTGTCATTGTTCGTTTCGTTGACTCTGGTGCTGGTCCTGCTCGCTCGCTCGGCCTCTGGTCGTCGCCATGGTGCAGGTGATGGAGTCGCAGTGCGAGTATTTTATGTACTTCCCGGCTGTGCCCATCACGGACCTGTCGGACCCGGCCCGGTACCGGAGCCTACCCCGCCGGAGCCACCTCTACCTGGGCGAGACCGTCCGCTTCCTGCTGGTGCTGCGCTGCAGAGACGCGGGGGCGACACCGACCGAGCAGGGCCCCGGTAAGGACCGGTAGGGGTAAGCCTGAATGGAGCCTGGTGTTAACGGAATGGAGGGAGGGGGGTGTTCAGCTAGTATTCGGTTTGATTCAAACCAAGCTATAATTTTTTACGTTATCATTACGGACCCTCGCGGTTGTTTACCTGTTTACCGATTCTGATGTGACACCATCAGAACCTCCTTGGGTTCAGGTAGAATTTTACCGCAAGGGAATCACTTCCGTAAACATGAAACATCTTCAACACCGGAAAACGCAGAAAGTCCTCCTGAAACCGTGTTACCGTTCTAAACGTGACTCAGCAACATCTGCACAGACATTTACTCTGATAGAGTCGCCTCCTACAAAATAAAAGACCGTCAGCAACTACGGAAGATCTCATTCATGATCCACGAACTACAGGTCATGTTTCAGCTTTTATTCTCTTAAATAAAATAACAGACTACAGCTGCATTCAAGAAAGTTTCTTCATTAGAAATATGTTCAGTTTGTTTTCAGTTTAAACAGGAGAAACTTGGACTAGAGGGACGCTCTAGTGCACAGGTTTCAAACTCCAGTCCTCAAGGGCCACTATCCCACATGTTTTAGTGTTTTTCCTGTTTCAACACACCTGATTTCAATCAGCAGGTGATTAACAGGCTTCTGGAGGGCCTGATGAGCTGCTGCACAGGTGAATCAACTGTGTTGGAACACGGACACAACAAAAAGATGCAGGCTACCGGCCCTCAAGGACTGGAGTTTGACACCCCTGAGTCTGATCTTCAAACATCTCTGACCTGCTGAGACTGCCTTATCTAACCATAATGAACAGAATAGTTCTGAGGAACATGAAACTTGTGTTTCTGGAGCAGGTCTTTTATTTTCAGTGATCTGGAACGGAAACAGAACCGTGCAGTTTCTTTGCTTTGTTTCTACTTAAGTCTGGGATTTTAAAGAACTCTGATGGAATAAGCAGAACCAGAGAAACTATCAGGTATCTGATCCAGAGGTCCTGGACCTCGTTGGGCAGGGCGTTCAGGGATGAATAAAGGGGTCAGCAAGATGAGATTCATCCTGGAAGCTGATTGGTTAAAAGGGGAAAGTGTTCTGTCCTCAGATCAGTCTCATTACTGAAAAATAGCTCTTTTAAATTTTCATCAGAATTCTCCCTCTTCATTCATGAAAAGTCATCTGAAAAGATGGAGCTCTACTCAGGTGCTTTTTGTTTCTATTATTTAAATAAAAACAGCTTATTTATGGAGCACCAAATCACAACAAGACTCCACGAGTGTCTTTCTCAAGGCACTTCACAAAGTAGACATTCCTGTACAGTTCAGTTCATACAGTAATTTACTGTAATAATTGTGAAACTATTCCTGAAGATGTTCAACATTTTTCTTGTCTTTCCTTGTAGTTTCAAGAACAGAAACTGCGTCTGCAGTGATGCGGGCGTTGTACCGGTCTGTCGTGGTGAAGAGAGAGCTGAGTCAGAAGGCGAAGCTCTCGATTTACCGGTCGATCTACGTTCCTACCCTCACCTATGGTCACGAGCTTTAGGTAGAGACCGAAAGAAAGAGAACACGGATACAAGCGGCCGAAATGAGTTTTCTCCACAGGGTGTCTGGGCTCTCCCTTAGAGATAGGGTGAGAAGCTCGGTCATCCGGGAGGGGCTCGGAGTAGAACCGGAGTAGAAAATGAGTTTTCTCCACAGGGTGTCTGGGCTCTCCCTTAGAGATAGGGTGAGAAGCTCGGTCATCCGGGAGGGGCTCGGAGTAGACCCGCTGCTCCTCCACGTCGAGAGGAATCAGTTGGGGTGGCTCGGGCATCTGGTTAGGATACCTTCTGGATGCCTCCCTGGTGAGGTTTTCCAGGCACGTCCAACTGGGAGGAGACCTAAAGGAAGACCCAGGACACGGTGGAGGGGCTATTTCTCTCACCTGGTCAGGGAACGCCTCGGGATTCCCCTGGAAGAGCCGGCCCAAGTGGCTGGGGAGAGGGAAGTCTGGGCCTCTCGCCTTAGGCTGCTGCCTCCACGACCCAACTCTGAAAAGGCGACTGAAAAGCGATGGATGGGTGAAATTTTATTTGGAGCAATGGTGGCTCAGGAGTTAAGTGCTTGCCCCGTAATCGGAAGGTTGCAGGTTCAAGCCCTGCTCAGTCTGTCGCTGCTGTTGTGTCCTTGGGCAAGACACTTAACCCATCTTGCCTGCTGGTTGTGTTCTGGGGGACCGGTGGTGCCTGTGTACGGCAGACTAGCCTCTGCCAGTGCGCCCCAGGGCAGCTGTGGCTACCATGTAGCTCATCACCACCAGGGTGTGAATGGCTGATTATGTTGTAAAGCGCCTTGGGGAGTTCCAGGACTCTAGAGGGTGCTATATCAAATTCAGGCCATTTACCATTTATATATTTATTTTGAAATTATTTAAAAATTATTGTCTGTCTTTTATTCTTTGTTGCAGAATCTTTGCTTTACGTTTGTGAGCTCCTGCTGATCCAAGGTCTCATAAAATCCCCAAACCCAAAGTCCAGGTCTCAGCAGGTCCTCACAAACCCAGTTTTTGGCAGGCTGGTTGAAAGTAATCTGCTGTTTTACAGAGGAGTTAGAGTCAAGATCCAGCTAAGTCAGTAACTTCCCTAACAGGTAACACCAGTATGATGGAGCTCCCTGGTGTGTTTCTATCAACAGGGGGCGCTGATGGGGCAGCAGTAAACTTTGGGACAGAGTCGGCTGGTAGTCGAGCTTGGAGGGAGCTGGCAGGCTCTCTGTGTGCTGTGGCCAGCGTGAGTCCAGGTGAGAACAACCGCCATCGAGGGAACTACCACCGGCATCACGATTACCAGAGCAGTGGGGACGAGGACGCAGAAGACGACTACATCGCTGCTGCTGAGGCTGCCATTGCGGCACTGGGCAGCAGGGTGGACTCGCGCTGTCGGAGCTTCAGGGACTGCAAACCTCTGATGATCCACAACTCATCTGGGACGGCCTCCAGGGAGTTCCGCAGGGCACCTGTCCAGGTACCAAAACTATCAGAACCAAATGATCCACCTTTTTGATCCAGCCCAGAACATCTGACCCAGTCTAGAAGCTCTGATCCAGCCTAAGGGCCTCGTTTATATGCTTCTTACACACAAACAGGGTCTGGAAACTGCATAAGTCTTTTTCTACGTTGCAAACGTACAGGGAGTGCAGAATTATTAGGCAAGTTGTATTTTTGAGGAATAATTTTATTATTGAACAACAACCATGTTCTCAATGAACCCAAACAACTCATTAATATCAAAGCTGAATGTTTTTGGATGTAGTTTTTAGTTTGTTTTTAGTTTTAGCTATTTTAGGGGGATATCTGTGTGTGCAGGTGACCATTACTGTGCATAATTATTAGGCAACTTAACAAAAAACAAATGTATACCCATTTCAATTATTTTTACCAGTATATAACAGTAATATAACATCTCCACATTCACAAATATACATTTCTGACATTCAAAAACAATACAAAAACAAATCAGTGACCAATATAGCCACCTTTCTTTGCAAGGACACTCAAAAGCCTGCCATCCATGGATTCTGTCAGTGTTTTGATCAGTTCACCATCAACATTGCGTGCAGCAGCAACCACAGCCTCCCAGACACGGTTCAGAGAGGTGTACCGTTTTCCCTCCTTGTAAATCTCACATTTGATGATGGACCACAGGTTCTCAATGGGGTTCAGATCAGGTGAACAAGGAGGCCATGTCGTTAGTTTTTCTTCTTTTATACCCTTTCTTGCCAGCCACGCTGTGGAGTACTTGGACGCGTGTGATGGAGCATTGTCCTGCATGAAAATCATGTTTTTCTTGAAGGATGCAGACTTCTTCCTGTACCACTGCTTGAAGAAGGCGTCTTCCAGAAACTGGCAGTAGGACTGGGAGTTGAGCTCGACTCCATCCTCAACCCGAAAAGGCCCAGCAAGCTCATCTTTGATGATACCAGCCCAAACCAGTACTACACCTCCACCTTGCTGGCGTCTGAGTCGGACTGGAGCTCTCTGCCCTTTACCAGTCCAGCCACGGGCCCATCCATCTGGCCCATCAAGACTCACTCTCATTTCATCAGTCCATAAAACCTTAGAACAATCAGTCTGGAGATATTTCTTGGCCCGGTCTTGACGTTTCAGCTTGTGTGTCTTGTTCAGTGGTGGTCGTCTTTCAGCCTTTCTTACCTTGGCCATGTCTCTGAGTATTGCACACCTTGTGCTTTTGGGCACTCCAGTGATGTTGCAGCTCTGAAATACGGCCAAACTGGTGGCAAGTGGCATCTTGGCAGCTGCACGCTTGACTTTTCTCAGTTCATGGGCAGTTATTGTGCACCTTGGTTTGTCCACACGCTTCTTGCGACCCTGTTGACTATTTTGAATGAAACGCTTGATTGTTCGATGATCACGCTTCAGAAGCTTTGCAGTTTTAAGACTGCTGCATCCCTCTGCAAGATATCTCACTATTTTTGACCTTTCTGAGCCTGTCAAGTCCTTCTTTTGACCCATTTTGCCAAAGGAAAGGAAGTTGCCTAATAATTATGCACACCTGATATAGGGTGTTGATGTCATTAGACCACACCCCTTCTCATTACAGAGATGCACATCACCTAATATGCTTAACTGGTAGTAGGCTTTCGAGCCTATACAGCTTGGAGTAAGACAACATGCATGAAGAGGACGATGTGGACAAAATACTCATTTGCCTAATAATTCTGCACTCCCTGTATAAATGAAAAACGACATTAAAATGTGGCAAAAATAAGCAAACTGACCCTGGTGTAAGCGCTTTACGGGGACGGGTGTAACTTTTACACCTGGTCTGGACCGGGCCTGAGTTAGAAGATCGGACCTACTATCCATGACAATCATTTTTTCCCCATCATTACATTCCGTTGTAAGAATTGTTAGCAGACGCGTGAGCGATGGCAAGGCGTTTCATTCACAGACTTCGGCAGGAAAGAGCTATTAGAATAGAGCGCGTTTTACGAGATCGTACAAACCCGCTGGATATTTTCGCCGACGGCGAGGTAATGGAAAGATTTTGGTTTGACAGACAGAAACTATTGATGAGTTCTCCCCACTGCTGTGGCACTCGGAGAGGAACGGGGCACTGTCCCCCACCATGCAGGTGCTGATTGCTCTGAGGTTTTATGCAAATGGAGCACTTCAGAGTATCTGATACTATATAGGGGATATGATAAACGTCATCGGACAACAGCTTGCAGGGCAATAAAAAGAGTGTCATTGTCTCGCCAGCGTTGTATGGACCGTTGCCTGTTTGCCCACACAAGAAGCAGCAGCTCAGACGAAGAGCAAATGGGATCTGACCGTTCCTCTAACTCACCCACAAGTACCTACATTTTTCAGTCCTATTACAATATTCTAGACCTCTTTGTTGCCATGGTTACCCGTGAAAAGCCACCAATCAGCCAGCTTGTGCGTGTGCAGAATATTAATAACGTAGGTTGCATTGACCGCGGGATGTGATCCAGAAAGTTGTTTTTAGGACAGGTGAGATTTATAAAGTAGAAACTGCTGCAGCTGTGTGATAGCAGACCTTTAGAGGCTAATAGAGGATAATTAGTTGGTGCTGAGCGAAAGTAAAGTTTTAGTAAAGAATCTGACCTCCTGACCTCTCTTGACCTTGACCTTCTCCTGCTCCAGTGTTCATGTGGATCTTTTTTCTCTGGTTGTCTCTCCCTGTCAGTCTCCTTTAGATGAGCCAGTGGTCCTACCAGATGAGGTGATCTTCCCTCTCACCTTCTCTCTGGACAAACTTCCTGTCAACACCCTGAAGGTCAAGGTAAGGGCGTGACCTTCTCCAGATGGGTCAATACGCCTCACACGCGTCAGTTGAAGGGTCCAACTCAACCTGAGTCCCGGGCCTTCGTGTGTTTAGTGTCTGACAGATGTTTTGGTTGCAGGTGATGGTGACGGTGTGGAAGAAAGAAGCTGAGAAGGTGGAGGTCCAGGAGCTGGGCTACCTGAATGTCCTGCAGCAGCGAGAGCCATCACACACCTTCAGACATGACCTGAACACCTTCAAAGCTCAGGGTACAACGCTGCATTTCACCCTTTAGCATTTCCCCCCATTGGACCAGAACCATCAGAAAAGCAGACGTCCTGAAACCTCAGAGAAGGGCTGGGCGATGGCTCTGTAGCTACTCTTGTCGTGACTTGGAGCTATATATCTAAACTGAACTGAATGTTTTAAAATATAAATATAACTTCAAGCAAGAAACCCGATGACCCCGTAAGGTTTACATTAATATAAACATCCAACCAGTGAATTTCTACAGTTAGCAGCTACTGCTAGCTGGCTCAGCCTCAAAGCGGTTGTTAGAAGAAGAAAATATCATTTCTATAGCGCCTCTCAAGATAAAAATCACGAGGCGCTTCACAAAAACAAAAAATGTAAAAATATAAAAAAGCATTTAGAAAATGTTTTAAAATATATTTGAAATTAGCTAAAATAGACAAGTGTGATTAAAAAAAGTTAAGAAAGAGAGAGAGTGAACAGGAAAGAGGGAAATCAGTGGATCCTGAGGAAGGTGGAATAGGTGGGGAGAGCAGAATAAAGAGAGAGAGGTGAAGAAGGTCATACAAAAGCCAGCTTGAACAAGTGATTCTTCAGCTGCTTTTTAAAGGAGACCACTGAGTCCACTGATCTCAGGCTCAGGGGGAGAGAGGTCCAGAGTCTGGGGGCCACAGCAGCAGATGATCTGTCACCTTTGACCTTTAGCCTGGTGCTGCACAACCAGTAGGCTTTGGTCACTGGACCTCAGGGACCTGCTGGGGGTGTAGGGACTAAGAAGATCACCAATGTAAGATGGTGCTTGTCCATGTAAGGCCCTATAGACCAGAACCAGGATCTTGAAATGAACCCTGAAGTTGACTGACAGCCAGTGAAGCTGGAGGAGAAGCGGGGTGATGTGGGTGTGTTTGGAGGACTTGGTCAGAAGCCGAGCACAGGCATTCTGAACCACCTGTAGACGGTTCAGGGAGGTTCTGCTCGGACACGTGAAAAGAGAGTTACAGTAGTCTAAGCGTGAGGAGATGAAGGCGTGGAGAACTGTCTCAAGTTCAGAGCGGGACAGAATGGGACTCAGCTTAGCAATGTTCCTGAGATGGAAGAAGGAAGAGCGAACAAGAGAACTGACATGAGAATCCATGGTGAGAGCAGGGTCAAAGGTCACGCCAAGATTCCTGACGGAAGGTTTGGTGTGAGAAGCAAGCTGACCAAGAGAGTCTCTGACTTTGGGAACCAGCTTGTCTGGGGCACAGATGAGGATCTCAGTCTTATCTTCATTCAGCTGAAGAAAGCTCCCAGCCATCCAGGTTTTAATAGAGTCTAAGCAGGTGTGTAACAGCTGCAGCTTGGACATCTCATGGGGCTTAAAGGAGATGTACAGTTGGATGTCATCTGCCTAAAGATGGTAGGAGATTCCTTTGAAGGAGCTTAGGATGTGCTGAAGAGGAAGAGCAGAGGCCCCAGCACAGAACCTTGTGGGACACCATGGGTAAGGGAGGTGGCGGAGGACCTAAACTTGGAGACGGCCACAGAAAAGGAGCGCTCAGAAGGATAAGAGGAGAACCACTCCAGAGCAGATCCTGATAGGCCTACCCAGTCTCTCAGCCTCTCCAGTAGCAGGTGATGGTCAACAGTGTCAAAGGCTGCAGTCAGGTCCAGCAGGACCAGAACAGAACAGTCCCCTGCATCACTGTGAGTCAGAAGGTCATTAGAGACCCTAAGAAGAGCTGTTTCAGTAGAATGAGCTCTACGAAAACCTGACTGGAAGCTATCAGAGATGTTATGTTCATCAAGAGCAGCTGTGAGTTGTTTAGCCACAACCTTTTCCAAGATCTTGGAGATGAAGATGGGTCTGAAGCTGCTATGGAGAGAGGGGTCAAGACTCGGTTTTATAAGAAGCGGGTGGATTACAGCGTTCTTAAAGTAAGCAGGGACCTGACCAGAAACCAGAGAAGCATTAATTATAGAGAGCACGCTGGGACCGATGGACTGAAAATCACTTTTAAACAAAGATGAGGGTAAGATGTGGAGGGGGCATGCAGAGGTCTTCATAGAGTTAACTAGTTTGGTTAGCTTAGGCAAAGAAACAGGAGCAAAGCTATCTAGGATGATGGGCCTGGTTGGAGTCGGGAGAGGTGGCGATAAGGCTGAAGGAGAGATGCTAGATCTAACCTTATTGACTTTGTCCACAAAGAAAGACAGAAAGTTCTCACAGTCTGCAACAGAGTGGATGGAGGCTGTAGGAGAGGCAGGAGAGACGATGCTGCTGATGGTGTTAAACAGCACCTTGGGGTTCCCTTTGCTCTGGGACACCAGGTTGGAGAAATAGGAAACCCTCGCATCTCTGACTGCAGAGTTAAAGGATGACAGAAGATCCTTTAGGTGCAGCAGATGGACGTGGAGATGGGTTTTCTTCCACAAGCGCTCAACTGTTCTGCATTGGCGCGGTTAGCATGTATTCTCACACGCCTGCTCCATCAGGAAGCCTCTGTGTCAGTGTTCTGCTCTGAACTTTGCTTTTGGCTTTGTGGGTTGTAATTATTTGGGCACGTTTGTGTTTTGCTGGGCTTTTTCACCGATCCTGCAAACAGAGTTCCGTTTTTCCCCGTTTTAGTAGTTTTCCATGAGCACTAGGGGACAGCAGTAGCTCAGGAGGGTTCAGGTTCGATTCTGGCTCCAGCCAGAGAATGCTGCTGTTGTGTCCTTGGGCAAGACACTTAACCCACCTCGCCTGCTGGCGGCGGTCGGAGGGACCGGTGGCTCTGTCAGTGGGCCTTGAAAGTCTTAAAAATCTTGAACTTAATTAAAGGAAATTAAGACCCTTAAAAGTTTTAAAAAGTCTTAAACATGATTTGTATTGACGTGAATTTAAAATACGTTCGTCTCATACTTGCAAACTTGCCGCTTTTTGGCGTTTTTTGGGAAGGTTAGTCTTTGGTCGGGTTTCAGGCGCTCTTCTTAAGAATCCGTTTCAGAAAAGGAGGAGTGTTCATCTTGTTCACAAACCACCTTTGTTAGTGGCTCACTGACAGCATGTCGTCATTCAGCTAAAAGATGACGGGCCCTCTCACCCGGCCGTAGCTCAGAGGTTTAGTAACCAGCTCAGCTCCGAAAGTAGAAATAACAGAAATCAGACTGCCGTGTCAGAAAGTCAAACCCAGATGTTTTGGTTCCAGTAAAGTTCTGGACTTGACAGCGGATTATGAACCTGAGACGAGTCAACAGGAAGCTGGGAACCCAGTTGGTGTTTGAGGTGTCTGTCGTAAACAGAAATGTTTCTGATGTTTCTCAGTGAGCACCACGCTGACCGTGCTGCCGCCACCGACGCTGCGTTGTAAACAGATGACGGTTTCTGGGAGACACCTCGCCATTCTGAAAGGTACCACGACCGGTTCTGCTTCTGAGATGCTTCCAAGCTACTCCACTGTTGCTAATGTGAAATTCATCAGGCCAAATTAGCCGCTGTCTTATTCAAACCTTTCTTTTTCCTCTTGTATTCGGCTGTAAGTGATCGCAGCTCTAACTAAAACTTGACCCGACTGGTGACTCGCTTCTGAAAACAGAACCTAACCTGGCAAAGGAGAACCACTGGTTGTTGTTGCAGATCCAGAAAATTCCAGATGTTGATCGAGAACTGTTTCCAGCAGACGAATCGTTTTGTTTTGTTTTTTGGCTAAAATGTGGAGCTTGTCAAGTATAACAGAGCTGCTTTTGTTTGGGTTTGACGTTCTACGTCTGTTTTTCTTCTCAGTGCTGAATGAATCTTCTCAGGAGGAGGTGAACATTCGAGGCATTCGCATCCTACCCAACCTGAACGCCTCCTACCTTCCTATGATGCCCGACGGCTCTGTGCTGCTCGTCGACAACGTTTGGTGCGTTTTAGGTTCTGTTTGCTTCAGATTTGTTTGAGCTGTCCTCTAGTTTCTCTCTCATCTGAATCTGATGATAAAATCCAGCTGTTTCCTGTTCTTTATTCTGTGTTACTTCCTGTTGATGACGGAGGCCATGAGACCGTTCAGATTTCTGATTTTTGGGCTAACCGTTGCTTTAGCACCTAGTACCATCCACTGGATCTCTGTTTGTCTCCACCAGTCATGAGTCTGGTGAGGTCGGCATGGCGTCCTTCAGTCGTGTGGAGAGTCTGGCCTGCCACCTTCCCAGCATGCTCAGCGCTTTGGAAGAGCAGGATTTCCTGTTCCAGCTGCACTTGAACGAAACGCTGCCAGACGAGTCCAGTGAGGTCAGTGTTTCTGCAGTCAGACCATTTATGGAACATATATTTCTTTATTTTCTTTCAAATGTTTACATAACATCTGTATTCTCACACTTTTTATTTTACAAATATTTAATCTGTTACTTTTTTAACAGCACAGTCAAAGTTTGAGGGAAAATAAAAACATCAGGTTTGTGTCTACAGTTGTTCAAAGCTACAGCAGAAATGTGGAAAACAAATCAGTTAAAAACATTTTCATGCCCCCGGACAATGTTCTGACATAGCATCGCTGTAGATATGGAGATTATAAACAAGCAACAATCATATTAATGAAGTGGTTCTTTCGCATTTGTCTAAAAACCTTTACCAACAACACGTTTCAGACCCAAACCGACCGTCCGGTTGTCGGTCTCACCGAACCGCCGCACTTCCCTGGGTCCCACTCATCACACACTCACGTATTCAGCACCAGAACACCACTGGTGTGAGAGGCAAGCCTGAGCCTATGTAGGGGAAACACTGTCAATGATTCCATATCTAGAGCAGAACGGTGGGTTCCGGTGTTTATTCTGTTTGCTTCTTTCTGGGTTTTAGGGCCTGGAGGTTCCACTTGTTGCTGTGCTGCAGTGGTCAACTCCCAAGATGCCTTTCACCAACTGCATCTACACTCACTACAGGTAAAACCCAACAGAATAAAGGCCAGTTCTAAATATCCTCACTGGGTTCTACTTTAAGGTTTGGATGGAGCTGCATGTGGTGAAGTTGGTGTTCAGTGAATCCAACAAAACCAGGATTAGTTCTAGTTTTCTGGTACAGCTAAAGCCTGCTTTTAGATTCCAGCACCCAGGTCTATATGATGGCATTATTTTCTAGGACAGGAGAAGGGAACCCTGGTCCTGGAGGGAGTATTTTAGTTGTTTCTCTGCTCCTTCGCTTCCCGATTCAGTGGTTGAATCACCTGTTCAGCTGCTCATGAAGCTCTGCAGAAGCCTTTATAGGCTGTAGACAACACCACAGCACTGAGACCGCACTGATTAAGACATTAAATGATATCCGTCCTCATGCGGATTCAGACAAAACATCTGTCCTGATGATGCTCCATCTCACTGCAGCTGTTGATACTGAGGACCACAACATCCTTCTTGATAGGCTCTTAACCTGGGTGGGACCATCAGGTACAGTCCACAGTGGTGTGATCACAAATCAAAGCTGATCAGCATGACATGTGGGGTCCCCCAAGGCTCAGTTCTTGGACCGCTGCTTTTTAATCTCTACATGCTCCTCCTGGGTCAGGTCATACTCAATAACAACATTATCTATCATAGTTATGCAGATGACACCCAGATCTACCTAGCTCTATCACCCAGTGACTGTGGTCCCCTAGACTCACTCTGTCAGTGTCTAGAACAAGTAAACGACTGGATGCAGTCAAACTTCCTCCAGTTAAACAAAGACTGAAGGTATTGTCTTTGGAGATAAGAAGGACAGAATGGAGTAGGGCTGAACGATCTATCGTTTTTGGACCAAAATTGCGATTTCAAACAACACGATCCCGTGACCGTCAAAGCTGCAGTTTTAGTGGTTTTGACTGATCCAGGATCAGTTGTGTAACTTTTTTTTTTTTTTACATCCGGGGTTTCCCCCTGTGTTATGGCGGTGGCAAAAGCCAGCGCGGGGGAGGGGGGTGGGGCGTACCGTCCAGAGCCGAGCCCACCTCCACAGCTGCCAGAGCTGCATGTTCAGGTCATTTCCCTGTTTTATGTTCCCACACACAGCGCTGCTAGAGCCGATAATAATGGCACCGTAGGTGAGCCCGGGACGGAGAGAGAGATCGTCGTTGAGTAGGGGGGAGAGAGAGAGAGACTCCTCCCACATCAGCAGGTTCAGGCTGATTTCTAAAGCTTGGTTTATGCTTCATCAGCGCGAGTGCGGAGTCGCACACTCTAGTTGACTTGAAAGCTCAACTTCTCTTTTAAAGATGTTCTGAATGTTTCTGACGGCACACGTTAGTTCAAACAAGCTAAGGTGTCAGAATGCGTGTGTCTCTCTCACGGAGCTGACGTTTTAGTGAAGAAGAACCATCAGACGGCTTCAGCCTGCCGCGGTAATGCAGGAAAACTGTTTTTGTTATTTAATACATTTAAAAGCTATTTCTACCTACTGGTTTCCTCCATGCATTCTGGAGTAGAACATGTTTTTATAAAGCTCCTCTAGATAAAAATCACAAGTTGCTTCACAAACACATTAAAAATAAAAATAGATTATAATGGGAGAAAATATGAATAGTTTTAACTGTTTTTATTGTATGATTAAATAGTAAATAATAATGTGAATGATTTGTTGTACTAGATTAGTTCACTTAATCTACTGGATGGCTCGGAAGGCTAGTGATGGACCTTAGTTTGCAGAAAACCGTGAATTGAACCGAAATCACAATTTCTGCTAGAAAAATTGCGATTCAATCTTTTCCTAAAATCGTTCAGCCCTAGAATAGAGGCTACTGCTCAGCTCGGCTCCAGAGGAATAAAGACAAAGACACGGGTTAGAAATCTTGGTGTCATAACTGATTCAGACCTGAGCTTCACTGGTCACATTAAGGCTAGAACTAGATCAGCATTTTATCATCTGCATCAAACAGCACGACTCAGGAGTCTCATGGCCAGACACGACCTAGAGAAACTCATTCATGTGTTCATCTCCAGCAAGCTGGACTACTGCAATGGTCTCCTAACTGGTCTTCCCAAAATAGATGTGAAGCATCTGCAGCTTGTTCAGAATGCTGCTGCTAGAGTCTTAACAAGAACCAGGAGAACCGAGCACATCACTCCTGTTCTTTAACCTCTACACTGGTTACCAGTAAACTACAGAATCCATTTCAAAGTACTACTAGTTTAGAGATAGTTTTGAAGCTCTCAATTTACCGGTTGTTCTACGTTCCACCCCAGGGCCGGTTTTACTGACAGGCAGCCGCCTATGGTGCAAAATAATCAATTTCCCTCTGGGATTAATAAAGTATTTTTGAATTGAATTGAATTGAATTGAAATTGCAGAGTAAAAAAACGTTAATCAAATGTTTGCACGTATAGCGTTTGACTAGACGTTGAAATGATGGAAGAGAGCATCTTTAACATCCGTCATTTTATTAAAGGACTCAAACTGTCCGCCGTAAGCACGCCTAAGCGAACCAACACACACTCCCTTCGCCCCGTCCCTTTCTCTCAACCTCCAACACAAAACACAGGAAAATGAATACAACTTTTTTTTTACATAAATCTTAGTGCAGTTTTATGAAATTACACTCTATACATACTCCAAATTTCTTGGAAAGACATGAAAATAAAAACCTCAATATTGAAATTATTTATAATGATCCGACTGCATCACCTGCAGAGTGGCGTCTACATTTGCAGACGGTCCCTGGGCGCTCGCGGCAGTTTCGTAACGAGTCGCGCGCAGAAGACGGGTTGTATAGAAAAAAGAGGTTGTTCTTGGTTCACTACCTTTCCACGATACCAATGAGGTATGTTATGTTTTGAAATGATCTTCTGATCAGAGGTTATTAAGCCATAAATGTCGAATCTGTCAATAACTTGTCAACTTTACTGAAGTACGTCGCTTTCCCGTGAGGCCAACCTGGTGCCCCCTCCTCCGTCTCGTTTACCTTTACCTGCTCCGTGGGGAGAACGGCTGTTTCTGATGATGCAGCTAGCTCAACGTGTCGGAGCATCCTAAACGATCAGGAGTCCGGGGAGGAACAAGGACAGAGGTGAGGAAATGTTCCAGTTATGATGTCATCGTGACATCATGGGGATGCTTTAGCACAAGCTGAGCTAGTTTATTATTGTAACATTTGTGCAGCACTAAAGCTGAGATACAATGATATTTAAGATCATTTCATATGTTTTGTGTTTGATAATAACTCCTAATAATTATATGAGCTTTAATAAATATCCGATCATTTCTTATTAGTTCTGACTGTTTCTATTTGTCTGATCTGAGTGACTTCTTAAACCTCATGGTAGAAAATAGTTTGTATTTAGCAAAAGTTCACTTTGATGGTTTATTTATTAAATTATCACAACAGATTATTGTTGCAAACATGCTAGTTTGTAAATGTCACAGATGTTGGATTTTGTACAGTAACATGTCTTTCTGTATGTGTCTAGATGCACCCGAACAGCTGCTGGAGCTTCTGATGAAGCATCCACACCATCACCACCCTGAAGCTTCTGATGAAGCATCCACACCATCACCACCCTGAAGCTTCTGATGAAGCATCCACACCATCACCACCCTGAAGCTTCTGATGAAGCATCCACACCATCACCACCCTGAAGCAGGTAAGCTCAGCCACACTGGTATGTTATTATTGCTGTTAATGAACGGTACAGCCTTGTTAGTAATTACAGTAAATGTACAAATCATTAGTCAGATAAATTATTATTTGTTCATTGCAACTTTATTAATAAGCTCTATTATTTTCCTATATATTTTTAATATCATTAGTTTATTTATCAAATGAAGTAGAAGGACACAACAAGCCAAATGCAGCGGTGTGACAGTGTGGTACTCTAGGCTTGAATGTAGCTACAAGTCAGTCAGCATCAGCATCATCATTATCAGCATCATCATCATCATCAGCATCATCATCATTAGCATCAGCATCATCATTATCAGCATCATCATCATCATCAGCATCATCATCATTAGCATCAGCATCATCATCAGCAGCAGCAGCAGCATCAGCAGCAGCAGCAGCAGCATCATCATCATCATTAGCATCAGCATAATCATCATCAGCATCATCATCATTAGCATCAGCATCATCATCATCATCATTAGCATCAGCATCATCATCATCATCATTAGCATCAGCAGCATCATCATCATCATCATTAGCATCAGCATCATCATCATCAGCAGCAGCATCAGCAGCAGCAGCAGCATCATCAGCAGCAGCAGCATCATCATCATCATTAGCATCAGCATCATTAGCATCAGCATCATCATCATCATTAGCATCATCATCATTAGCATCAGCATCATCATCATCATCATTAGCATCATCATCATTAGCATCAGCATCATCATCATCATCATTAGCATCATCATCATTAGCATCAGCATCATCATCATCATCATTAGCATCAGCAGCATCATCATCATCATCATTAGCATCAGCATCATCATTAGCATCAGCATCATCATCATCATCATTAGCATCAGCAGCATCATCATCATCATCATTAGCATCAGCATCATCATCAGCAGCAGCATCAGCAGCAGCAGCAGCATCATCAGCAGCAGCAGCATCATCATCATCATTAGCATCAGCATCATTAGCATCAGCATCATCATCATCATTAGCATCATCATCATTAGCATCAGCATCATCATCATCATCATTAGCATCATCATCATTAGCATCAGCATCATCATCATCATCATTAGCATCATCATCATTAGCATCAGCATCATCATCATCATCATTAGCATCAGCAGCATCATCATCATCATCATTAGCATCAGCATCATCATTAGCATCAGCATCATCATCATCATCATTAGCATCATCATCATTAGCATCAGCATCATCATCATCATCATTAGCATCATCATCATTAGCATCAGCATCATCATCATCATCATTAGCATCATCATCATTAGCATCAGCATC